GAGGTGCTAACATGACTTTTTTCCAGTGCATACTGGCCTATCCATTTTCTACCTAAATGTGTATCACAGAATCAAAGGAGATGGAAGGCACCTGAACAACCATCTTGTCTCACTCACAACCTATAAGGAATCTCTCCTATAACATACACAGGTGACAAGTCATCATCCAGACTTTACTTGTGCTCCATTGAAGAGGAACCCATGGCAGCCCCCCCCCACCATGCCAGGTCATCTGAAGCACAGCTGTCATTGAAAGGAAGTTTCCCTTGACCTGAAGCTGAAATTGGAGAGACTGGCCCCTGCCTCTCAAGCCTTGCAGACCTCAGGGGCAGAAATTTCAGAAGGGAGATCCAAAGCTCCCTGGGCCATTTGCCACACTGGTGGGTCCTGGATGATTGTCTACCAACCTGTCCCACAGGAAGCTGAGTTCTATGGCATATCCTGTTGCTACTTGTCGACAGGACCTGGTGAAAGGCTTGGCCTGTCCCCACCTGGGCAGTCTCCTCCCACAAAGCACTCTCTTTTGTATTATTTTTATTCTTGTTAGCATCCTATCTGGGCTTACAAGTCCTTGAGAGCAAGGGGCAAGTGGGTCTGATGTGTCCCTCACCCCCTACCCCAGGACCCAGGCTGATGCTACAGCTCCCATTGAGGTTTGGTCTTGTCCAATGAGAATGTAAGCTTCTTCTTTCCTGATCTTTGTATCTAACATGCTCAGTATTGTACTCAGTAGGTGCTTGGATATCCTTTCCTAACTTATTATTTATCTACCACTTGAGCAAATGAATGAATAAATAAATAACTCCAAATGGAGGTTGGAGTGGAAGAAAGAAGCCCTATAGGGACTCCCCTCCCAACAGCAGCAACAACAGAACACCTTTGCCTTTAGAAGTGACTCAGCTGGTTGGTCACTAATCTTGAGTATGTTTAGAATAACCCCTTCCCCCTCTGCTCCTAGCTCCAGCCTCTCTGAAGAGGGACCAGCAGGGGGGAGGAGGCCCCATAGGGAAGAGGGCAAAAAACCCTCCCCTCCCCTCTCCTTCCCTCTTTTTTTGGTGACTCCTGGGGTCTTCTTGACAAGAGATTAAAAACTCTCTCTCTGCCTCTGGGTCAGGACTGGGGATGACTTTCCACCACAGTGGAGCCTCTTGACAGGTATAGCTGTTCACCTCCTATTGAAAGGGACTGGAGCTTTGGGTACCTTGACTGGGGGTACCAAGGTGGTGTCAGACATGGTGGTGGCACAGATTGTGGCAGGCTGCCCTCAACCTGAAGCCCTGGAACTAGAAGCAGCAGCTACTGTGGCAGGAGCTTGGACACCTGGCAGACTAGTGGGCTTCCAGGGGCATGGCATCCAAGTGTCGCCCTCTGTGCCTCAGGTCTCTGAATGATCAGGTGTGATTGGGCCAGTTTTATCATTTCTATTAGATGTTATAGTTCTACCCTTTCAGGTGGAGACCCCAGAGTAGGCATATTAACTCAACATCCCTTTAGCTCTAGGATGGTCTCATTGGCGAGGGTTCTCTATCTGTTCCCTCTCTTCAGCCTGTGCCATCTTGTCCATTTCTCTTCATTAATTGTTCATGGAGGAAGCACTCAGCTGACTGAGGCCTCAGCGTGTTCCCTCTAGTTTTTGGTGGGAGCTGGAGCAGCCTATTGGCTCTCTGTTTTCCCTTATTCTCACCCTTGACAATCTCACCCCCTTTCCTGGTCATTCATGCCCTTGATGGATGGCAAAGTCCCCTTCCCTCTCTGAGTCTCAGTTTCCCTTCCAGTGCCCAGGATCCTTTCTCCTTTATGCAGCCTCCCTTATTCTTACAAAATAGCCTATGCTGAGCATGGTTTTGCCATCCCAAAGTCATTAATATCAAACTTCTCCAAGAACCCAAGGCATAGGTAAAGTTCTTTACCAACCCTGAGCACAAATTAAAATCAATTACTGGATGCATTCTCCTCCATAATTGATGAACCACATTAGGCAGTTTAATTATCTATTAGCCCTTGTGCTGGAGGTGCCTGAACCTCCAGCTGACTGTGAAAACTTCAGAATTTTACAAATGAAGGGTTGAGTGTTTTGTGGATGTCTAGATATAAGCGAGCAAGGAAGAAAGTTAAGAAGCAGATTTAACTTAGAAGTGTCATGCATATACATGTGTCTGCATGTGTGTGTATGTGTGTAAGTGTGCGGGCAAGTGCATGTGTGCATGTGTGTGCATGTGTGCAACTGTATACATGTTCATTGTGTGCATGTGTGCAAGTGTATGTATGTGTGCATGTGTGTGTGCATGTGTGCAAGTGCATGCTTGTGTGTGTGTGTGTGTGTGTGTGTGTGTGTGTGTGTGTGTGTTTTCTGAACTGGTTTTTAAACCTTTACCAGCAGCCCCTCAAGCCTTTGTTCTCCTAACATGGAGGACCCCATCAATGGTAGATGAAGCCCAGCAGCCTTCCTGGGGCTCTCAGCCTAGTTTTGCAGACTCCCTTCATGTGTTTCACCATTAATAGCTAATCAACCAGCTATAACAAGACAAGCTGGAGAATTCAGAGCAAGTCACTTCTAAAGGGAAGGCTCAGAGTCTAGCAGCTGCCCCCAGGAGTCTGGTGCAGAGCAGACAATGCTGCCAGGCTACTGAATTTTCTATCCTTTAGCAGTGTATGAAAGGTAATATGTTAATACCTGAGGGAGTGGAGGGAGGGAGGAGACCTGGACCCAGATCTAGGCTCTGTCCCTCCCTGGATGTGTGACAAAAGACAAGCCCCTTCTTATTCCATTTGGTCACTTACTCTGTGTGATTTGGGGCAATCACCTAGATTCCCAAGGCCTCAGTCTCCTCATCTGTAAAACGGGTGGAGGTTGTACCTGATGTCCCCTGGGGTCCCTTCGAGCTCTCAGTGCCGTCTTGGAAGGAGGAAGGCACTGTGGTCCCACCAGAAGGAGACAACGACCCTCTGAGTTGACTTTCCAAGAGACAGAGTGGCCTGGCACAGTCTGGCCACACCCTCAGGATCCTTCTTGTTGGGAAGGCATTGGGAGAGCCCTTTGTGGTATCTGTTTGCCTATAGCTCAGTAGGTGCTTTGTCATTACCTTGTATGCTGGGGGCTGGGGGCCGTGGGGAATTGGGAATAGCTGAGTATTGAGGTGATGAATGGATAAAAGGAAGGGGGTGGGGGCAGGGACTCTTTAGATGAACTCACTGAAGTTAGTTGGGAGCCTATGGTTTGAGATCGGGTTTTATTTTGTATTTCTCTTGCTTATTTGAATTTATTTTTGTTTATAAAAGAATTTGTTTTAAAAGGTAAAATCAGGGACACAGAAAGGAGCAGAAGGCAGTGAGAATGGCTGAGTGTGTCTACCAGAAGTGCGTGAAGATAAGACAGGAAGACAGATGGGGGGTGGGGTAAACAAAAGGAGAGAGGAGACACTCCATCTGCCCAAGTAGCCCTTGGGTGAACCAAGGGGCATTGAGTAAGGGGAGCCCAGCAGTAGATAAAACCACCAAGGAAGGGGACGGGAAGGGGATTTCCATTCACATGTGTGGAGCCAGAAGGAATGAAGCCTTTGGAAAGAACCACCAAAAGGCAACTCTCCCTGGCCCTGCATAATCCTATCAAACTTCTGGACTTGACCTGGCTCATGGGCTTCTGGACTTAGCAGACGGAGCTGGAGAATCAGGCCACCTTCCTGGTTTGAGGCATGCTATTATGCCATGTGCAATCTCCCGTGGTGGGGGAGGGGAGAGAGATGCAGCTCTCAGTCTCCTCTGGGGATTCACATGGGTGACTGGCGCAGCTGCTGTGCACCTCACTGCCAGGGCATGGGTCTGACACCTCTCTGCTTCTGTTGTCCTAGACTCTGGCCCCTCATACACTTAAAAACATTTAATTAATTAATGCTCATTATCTTTTGAGTTCTAAGTTGTCCCCCTCCCAATGCTGCTTTAGAGAAGGCCAACGTCTAATGCAGATGCAGACATAGATGTGGAACCATCTAACACATGCTTCCATACAGCAGGTCTTTCTGGAGGTGGAGAGCATCTTCCTTCGTGGGTCCTGTGTTGATTAGACTGTTCCTATTACTCAGAGAGGCTCAGTAACTCTCAGTCCCTCACCTTCCACGACTTTGGCTATTACCCTGGTTCTGCTTGTTTCACTCTGCGTTATTTCATGCAAGTGTTTCCATGGTTTTCTAAAACCAACCTGTTCATCATTTCCTACAGCACAGTAATATTCCACAAGCACATTTGGATTTGAAGCTTAATTCTGGTTTTTTATGAGAAATACTGGCTTTCCAAATGGCTGAGTGGTTTTTGGGACCCAGTGTCTACGCACAGAATTTATCAGTAAGGAGAACCCAAATCTAGAGTTTGTCAAGTGGAAGATGAAGCCAGTATCAAAGTGAGACTCTGAACAGTTGAGACCAGGACTGTGGCCTCAGTTGATCTGGAAGGATGCCCAGTCCCCTCGCCATCTTACCCACTCCACCCTAGCCATTGCTGCTCCAACACAGTCCGCATTATCCTAAGGCATGTGTAAGGCCCCTTCATTGTCCCTTCCACTTGGTTCCATCTTTTTCAGTCCCAGAGAAGACCAGTCTCTCTCTGTTTTATTCTGATTCATTTGCAGCAAGTAGAGTTTAAATGAACGTCTCTCTGCTCTTTGCTGGGGTGGGGGCTCACCAATGAAGGAAAGGATGTATATCAACAGATATAGTTGATGTGCTGACTGGTCCCCAAACCTTTGTTACAGGGCAGTCTGTTGGGTGGGGGTGGCATGTACAGTCCTGAGCCCATAAGCGGGGCCTGGGAGCTGAGCCCATCTCAAGCAGCCACTTCAATGCTCCTTCTTGTCCTTCGTCTTGTCTCCTTTTCTACAGAAGATGTCATTTTATTTTTATTTTTCAGGTGAGTGAGACAATGTAGCGAAGCACAGGCTGACCGGAGACTCCTGGAGCCTCGAGTGAAGGTTCCCTGGGCTCTCCTCCACCCGGAGTCACAACTTCACGATGTCCAAGAAGGGTGGCAGCAGCCGAACCAAGGGGGAGAAGTCTGATGCCTTAGCCGCCTTGCAAGCTGCCAATGAGGACCTCCGGGCCAAGCTCACAGACATCCAGATAGAGCTACAGCAGGAGAAGAGTAAGGTATGTGTGGAGGCTCGAGCTCACAGAGCCCTGTGGCAGGTGTTTGTGGCTAGAAGGGCTGTGGCCCTCACTTGGGGACCATGAGAGCAGAGCAATGGAAAGGCCCAATCACTGTAGGAAGAATGATGGCTCACAGCTCCATGGTGACCCCGTTAGACAGGGAGTTCAGACCTTCTGGTCCCCATCCTACAAATGAGGAAAACAGAGGCCCAGAAAGGCTAAAGACCTTGGTTGTAATTGGATACTCTAGAAAGTAGATGAGGCAACATTTGGACCCAGGCCTCCTGATTCCGAGCCCAGGGCTTTTTCTGGCACACCGTCAGGAGGGAGCAGCTTCCCTGCTCTGAGGCTGGCCCAGAGGAAGGAATTTTGCATCCATGCAAGGCTCTGGAGGGCAAAGTCAGTTATGAAAGTAGGGGCAGTGCTGGGCTCAGGGCCTTCAACCCTCGTGGAGTCCCCTCTTGAAGCCCATTGTGAGGAGGCACTCTAGATTTGGGGTTGCAAGGTGAGGGAAATTGCTGCTGACCCCTGGGCAGTGTGGCACATGAGGAAGGCCCTGGGACTGGCAGTTTGGGTGATTGGGGTCCACTCAGCAGCAACACAAGCATGGATACATCACTTAATCATTCTGGGTCTCAGTTTCCTCCTCAGTAAAATGAGGGAATTAGAGCCCACAGGCTGTAAGACCCTCTCCAGATCTGACATGCTGGCCTTCTAACATATCTCTAGAAACAACTCAGTCATCTTTGCACAGGGTCCCATTGTGGAGACAGTAGCTGGGCCATGCTGTGCACATACCCTTTCCTTAGCCCACCTCATCCATCTGTCATGGGAGAGGTTTGGGGGGAAGAAATTCCTATGGCTCAGCTCTTCAGACAGACATGCTGAGCTTCACCAGCAGAAGAGGAGAAGAACCTGCTTCAGAAAAGTGCATTCTTCAGTTCAGACTTTCATGGTGAAGCAGGTGGAGAGCTATGGGGCTCAGTAGGTGAGGTAAGGACAACTCAGAATTTTTATTCTAGTGGAAATCATAAATGGCACCATGGTATCCTGGTGAGAGGAGAGCATGGTCACTGTCCCAGGGAGAGAGTTGGCCTTGGGGGACTCCTATGTCCCAGGGGCACTTGCAAAGGAGCTCGTCCTTCCTTCCCTCATCCCACCTGTGAGAGGAAGAAACAATAGACGGGCAGCTAGGTGGCACAGTGGATAGAGCACTGGCCCTGGAATCAGGAGAACCTGAGTTCAAATCCGGTCTCAGAGCACATGAAACTTACTAGCTGTGTGACCTTGGGCAAGTCACTTAACCCCATTGCCTAGTCAAAAAAAAAAAAAAAAAAGAACCAGTAGATACTTGAGAAGCCATCTGGGGGGATGGACTATTGTCCAGCTTTCAGTCTAGGATCCAAGGCACCATACCTGGTTGAAGCCTGTATGTCCTGAAGCTTCCAAATCAACAGTGTCTGGGTGGAGATGCTGAGGAGAGTCAGCAGCTGCTGTCCATGGTCTGACCCAGGCAGGACAAAGAGCAGGAGTCACCAGAAGACACCAGATCCTAGAGCTAGGCTGATGTGCCAGCCCCATGGTTTTGCAGAGACCAAGGAAGTGACTTGCTCAGGGTCAACAAAAGAAGTATGCCCGGGAGGTGGGAGTGAAACAACCCAGCCAGGAACAACACAGCTCACTGTGCCATGATGGGACCCAGAGTAGGAGTCAGGACGTTGGGTTCTCACTATGGCCAAAACTCTCTTTGGGAGACAGCAGAGAAAGGAGTGCTAAATCCCTGGGTTCTGAGGCAGAGTGTGTTCCAAACTTGACTCTGCATCTTATGACCTGGGCCACCCTGTGGCCTAGATGAGGTTGTACCAGATGGTTTTAAAGGTTCCTATCCCTCCGTAGTCTCTGGTCCTCAGGCCAGGCCACTCAACCACTTTGGATCTCCACGTCTTCCTCACGCAATTGAAGAGGGCAAGACCTCTTCTGCATCCATTGTTCCGGTTTGGTAATATGAGCTGAGTGAGCAGGGATCTGGCAAAGATCCCTGGTCCTGCCTCCACAAAGACAGGTAGCAGATTTCAGTCAGCAACACCAAATGTAGCCTGTACTAGAAGAAATCGTGAGTATGTGTGTGTGTGCGTGTGTGCCAGTGTGTGTGTTTCTATGTGTGTGTATGTATCTCTGTGTATGCATCTTTGTGTGTATGCATGTGTGCATGTGTGTTTCTGTGTGTATCTCTGTGTGTGCATGTGTGTGTGTCTGGGTGTTTCTCTATGCATGTGTCTCTGTGTGCACATGTGTGTCTGTGTGTGCATGCATGTGTCTGTGTGTTTCTGTGTGTGTATGTGCCTCTGTGTGTGTGCACACGTGTGCGTGCGTGTCTCTCTGTGTGTCTCTGTGTGTCTGTATGTTTCTGTGTGTGCGCATGCATGTGCATGTGTACATGTATCTGTTTTGCTTC